CACGAGTTCAGTGAAGTTTTGATTTTTTAATGGGGAAGGTTTTGGGTCCTATGGGAGGTTTTTGTTTGTACCAGTCGGTAAATCCTCTGATAACTTGTCAGTAAAGTGTTCGATATGAATCAATTTAATGGCACTGGATGTTAAGTGTTTATGGTGTTGGAGTTTCCTGCCCCGATGAAGGCTAATAAAACTGTGTTGACTTGCCCTTTGGCTTTGCCTTCTTCCTGTTTTTTCCTTCTTGATGTTCAACCCCTCCTTCTTGGTTGCTCCAACTGCGTAATGCAAGAAATGTATATTGTTATGGTAGAATGTGTTGTTATGGTGACCGGAGTTTCAGTTATGAAAACACATTTGTCTCATTAGAGGACAATTTGTTCTGTTTCGATCGACTTATTCTTTTTTGTGACCAGTATTTTCAGTTTTGGTCATGTAAGTGCATTTTGCAAAAGATATTCAGAGTTATGGCAAGTGTGTTTCTGTTTAGATGGCTATGTTCTTGTTTTGAAGAAATGAATTTTGATTCTAAATAGTGGGTTTAGCAATTGAGAAAGACTGTAATTGGGTGTCGTCAGCGTAGCAGTGGTATGAAAAACCATGCGGGCTAATGACTGATCCGAGCGAGTTTGTGTACAGAGAGAAGAGGAGGGGACCGAGGACAGAGCCCTGAGGGACCCCTGTAGTTAATTGACAAGGGTCGGACTATGACCCTCTCCAAGTTACCCTGTAGGTGCGGTCTTTGAGGTATGAGGTGAGGAGGGAAAGTGCAGAGCCTGAAACTCCAAGTTCTTGGAGAGTGTGAAGGAGGATCTGATGATTCACCGTGTCGAATGCAGCAGACAGGTCCAGAAGGATGATGACAGAGGAGAGGGAGGCTGCTTTCGCAGTGTGCAGTTCCTCAGAGACAGCAAGGAGGGCAGTTTCTGTGGAGTGGATGTGTGTGTGATGTGTGATATGTGTGTGTGATGTGTGTGTGTGATGTGTGTGATTGATGTGTGTGTGACGTGTGTGATATGTGATATGTGTGTGTGATGTGTGTGTGTGTGTGTGTGTCCCTCTCTAACCTGTGGTGCCTCCCCCTCAGGAGGAGATGAGTTCCTGGATCGCGGCGGTCCTGAACGCCGGCTCCGAGCGCTCCGACCGCTCCGAGCCTCCCGGCAGCATCCCGGGAACACCGGTGTCGGGTCGGGCTCAGACGCTGCCCAACGAGTCGAGTCCCGGGAAGAGAGAGAAGGACAAAGAGAAGGAGAAGGAGAAGCGCTTCAGCCTGTTCAGCAAGAAGAAGCAGTAGAGAGGAGACGCTTTGGTGAAACTCGCGTTCAGAGTCAGAGAGGACTTCACGGAGGTCTCCCGCAGAGAGAGATGATGTTACGAGCTCTGTGAAGTCAGCCAGCCGCTCACCCTCCCTCATCTACTGCCTTTCCAGCCATAACACCGGCTCATTGCTCACCACACGTTAGCCACGTTAGCCACGTTAGCATCCGACAAAACTGTGAAAACTATTTCAATAAAAGTTAGAAAGATGTGGCTCAGATGAATTCTCTTTGGGGCCAACTTCACAGCTGTTTATCTCTGTGATTTCAAAAAAACAGATTTATGAAAATTCAGTTTGAACAGGAAAGGGAGCAGCTGATGTTTGAGGGCGACGGCTGGAAGAACTCCACGAGCAAAACTGGAAGAGTTTCACCAAAGAGCGCCGTGAGGAAGTCTGTGTGTTTATTCTCAATGCAGTTTAGTTTTTTATATATTTTAGATTTGATTTCTTCTCGTGGTCGTCTGCTGGGTTTTAACATCGACCTTCTTCTAACAAAACATCGGAGAGAAACCAGAAGGGGAAGTTCCTTCACGCGGTTCCTTCACCTGGTTCCTTCACCTGGTTCCTTCACCTGGTTCCTTCACCTGGTTCCTTCACGTGGTTCCTTCACCTGGTTCCTTCACCTGGTTCCTTCACCTTGTTCCTTCAGGCGTTCGCAGCGACCCACGTCCTTCTCTTTGTTTTTTAAATTTATTTTGTTATTTTTGTACTTTTTCTGAAGTTATTTCCTCAATTTTGTGAGGGCGTCTCCAGAGAGCGCCTCCTTCTTGGACCAATAGGGCTTCTGGTTGAGTTCTGAGTGTGTGATGTAGAACCTGCATGCTCCGCCTGAGTCACCTCATCTTTTTTAATGTCCTGGGTTGCAGATAGACGACATGTATAACCTGTGAACGCTGTGTAATCGTAGAACCTTTGCTTTGCTTCTCGTGGCGCTGCGTTCAGGGTCCCGCTCTTTGATACTCGTGCTGCTGTTGGTCGACATGTATGGAAGCCATCTTACTGCACTCAGAAACACACCTGTAGGAACGCCCCCAGCCCAGTGTTACCCATAAGGCTTCTCATGTATGAACTGCACCTGTAAACGCTGCCATGTCATTAAAGCTTTGAAACTCTCCTGAGCCTCTTCATTCTCTCCTTCACACACTGACTGTACCTGTAATGTATCACCTGTAGCAGAATGTATCACCTGTATCAGAGTGTATCACCTGTAGCAGAGTGTATCACCTGTAGCAGAGTGTATCACCTGTAACAGAGTGTATCACCTGTAGCAGAGTGTATCACCTGTAACAGAGTGTATCACCTGTAACAGAGTGTATCACCTGTAACAGAGTGTATCACCTGTAGCAGAGTGTATCACCTGTAGCAGAGTGTATCACCTGTAACAGAGTGTATCACCTGTAACAGAGTGTATCACCTGTAACAGAGTGTATCACCTGTAACAGAGTGTATCACCTGTAACAGAATGTATCACCTGTAACAGAGTGTATCACCTGTAACAGAGTGTATCACCTGTAGCAGAGTGTATCACCTGTAACAGAGTGTATCACCTGTAGCAGAGTGTATCACCTGTAGCAGAGTGTATCACCTGTAACAGAGTGTATCACCTGTGTCAGAGTGTATCACCTGTAACAGAGTGTATCACCTGTAACAGAGTGTATCACCTGTAGCAGAGTGTATCACCTGTAGCAGAGTGTATCACCTGTAGCAGAGTGTATCACCTGTAGCAGAGTGTATCACCTGGAGCAGAATGTATCACCTGTAGCAGAACACACATTCAGAGGAGCACCTGAACGCAACTTCAGAGGAGTTCCTGAACGCACCATCAGAGGAGCACCTGAACGCACCATCAGAGGAGACTCTGAACGCACCTTCAGACGAGCACCTGAATGCACCATCAGAGGAGCACCTGAATGCACCATCAGAGGAGCACCTGAATGCACCTTCCACCTGGAGTGAAATAGAATCAATAGAATCCAGATAATAACAGATTTTTGTGAAAGATGTAAACCTTTATTGACAGGAACGATGCATTTTATCATCAAAATAGACGTTCATAGTATTTAGTCATTAGAAATAAACTCTTGTCTAAAAACAAACTCATGCTTTCAAAAGGTAAGGAATATTCACTATTTGAGATAAAGACTACACCTCCAATCATGCACCGTAGCCTCCTGAGCGCACAGTCACGCGCACTGTGATTCACGCCGTTGCGCTCGCGCGGACCTGCACGGCACCTGACATTCCGAGAGACGGGAAGCGCGTGCAGTTTAGCGTGAGGCAGACCGGAACCCGGGGCATTAGGCTTCAAAATAAAAGATTAAAATATTGAATCAAAGTTGTTTAGATATTATGAAAACACATGAATCGTTTGGATAACTTTAGTGTCATGGTAGCTTTTGTATCGCCATATCCACACTGTAGCTACAGTGCATATGATAACGCTTTAAAGCTTGAAATACCAGTAGATACTTTATTTTGAAAATCCTAAGCAGAACTGCTGAGTGTGTCCCGTCCCTCTTAACTCTGTCGGTGCTCTCCGGGATTCCCGTTAACATCCAGACTTTTCTTCATCATTTTCTCCGTATTCTCCGGGTGTTTCTGCCCCGGGATTGTCTTTGGACAGACGGGCTCCTCTCCTCTCCGCCGGGTCCCCCCCTCTCTGCCCGGGCAGCAGCAGCGGCAGCAGCCGGGCTCCGGAGCTCTGGATGCGGGAGAAGCGGTAATAAATCTGGGCTTTAATCTCCAGATCTGAACGGGATTTCCTCAGATTTCAGCCTCCAGACACTTCGTTTGAGGATTTACATTTCAATAACGGATATTCCTTTTTTCTATTGTGACGCTGGCACTGATTCATTATATTCCGTTTAATATTCTTCATTTATTTTTTATCCTGACCTTCCTGATTTAAGCTCCGCTGATAGCCGGTCATAAGAAGCGCTCCTCTCGGTGAAGCCCTTATCGGAATGACCGTAGCGGCCAACGGTGGTACTACAACTTCAGTGACGTCATTTTGGCCCGACAAGACTTTTCCCCATTGACTTACATTGGGAAAGAGACGTGTGTAGATCAGAGGGTCATTTCTTTAGAGCTAGATAAAGCACCCAGCAGGAACTCTCTCACAGCCCGTATTCAAATCATTACGGTGTTAAAGCTGTACAATGCTCTAAAAGCTGAACCCAGAGATAATTTCTCTCTCCATTCATCTGACTGACAGAGAGGAGGCGGGGCTTAAGACAAACTAAACTGCGCACGCTCTGTGGGCCCACATCCGGGTACTTCCCGGATCTACAGTCGCTCTATTATTGGCTTCATGCGCCTCTGAGCAGCTCCATAGGAATGAACTGTTCATATACATTAATACATCAGTTTATATACATTAATACATCAGTTTATATACATTAATACATCAGTTTATTCACATTACTAATACATCAGTTTATTCAACAACAACATCTAATATTAATTAGATGTTGTTATTATTAGATACATATATTTATATATAAAAAATAAGCCACTCGTTTTGTGAATGATGTGTAAAACATGTTTATGAAGAAGTCTGGCACGAAAGTCACTTCTCTTGTCCTTTCCGAGAGAAAGAGAGCACTTGAATATATTCTTAGAGATGACATTTGAGACGATAAAACTCTTTAAAGTGATTCACTGATAATCAGATAAATCCTCATGGAGCTGCAGAAGCTGAACTGAGAACACTTCCAGATACCTGCTCTAACCCTCTGAGTGTGTGAATGAACTCTGTGTGTCCTTGCTGTAGATTACGAGGCGCACAGCAGGAGGTCAACATCAATCTATCATCATAACACATTGTTATAGCACTTTTCCTAGCGCTCAGAGACGCTTGACATACAATCAGAAACAGTAGTCCTTTTTATATACATATACCTTAAAGCTAACGAGCATACTCATTAGCTGTAATCATATACAACATATGCCTTGTAATGTAGATAAACATTAAGAGCTTATATTTCACTGAAGAACAATCATCCTAAACTCAAACCCCTGCTGTAGCGTGGCATTATGGGAAGTGTAGTTGCATGCAGCTCAGTTGAAGGGCCAGTGGACTACAGCTCCAAGCAGCATTAGCTCTCTAACGTGATGTCGGATAAGACGGCTCCGCGCTGCCAGCTGCGCCTCGAGTGGATCCACGGGTACCGAGGGCACCAGTGCAGAAACAACCTGTTCTACACCGCCGGGAAGGAGCTGCTGTACTTCGTGGCCGGCGTGGGCGTGGTCTTCAACCCCAGAGAACACACGCAGAAGTTCTACCTGGGACACAACGATGACATCATCAGGTGAGAAACATCACCTGGTGAGAAACATCAGTGATTATGTGTTACAATAGAGTGGCGAAGTCACGCCCACTTACTTCCGCATCATGGGACCTTATTCCGAAAAAATAATACATTGAAGTCAATGGAGAGAGAAAACGTATCTTTTGATCCTGTTTGAATTGTGCCATGAATTACACATATGTTGTTTGTCAATCTTAAAAAATCATTTCCATGTCAAAAATGTAAGTGCTGTCATAACTGATGTATTCCCTCCAGATAGCTAAAAATACATTTACTTACTGTACTTACTTACTTTAACAAGATGCCTGTGTGCTTTGTACCAGGTTGTTATCATACCAGTAATAGTACCTCTTGCTCGTTCTCAACTAAAACAAAACACGAGAGTGTACCTTGTTAGCTAAAGTTAGCTAGCTGACATTAACGTTACACATTACACTCGTGTTACTCACCGAAACCTTGTAAAGCCGGTCCCGCATGCTGGCTTTTCGGAACCG